AGGGTGGAAATTACAGCATCAACACCTGCTTCTTTTAAGCTTTTACCAGCCACTGACTTAGCCATAGGATGGAAATTACATCATCAACGCCTGCTTCTTTTAAGCTCTTACCAGCCACCGACCACCAAGATCGGCACCTTGTACATGGCATCTCTAGCACAGCACTTAGGTACAGCATTACTATCCTGATTCTGCAAAGGTGGGGTCCTAGGCTCAGAGGCTCTTGGTGGCTACCTCAGGTCACACAGCACATGCCAGCAGAGCAGGCATGTCTGCAACCCCAGATCTGCCTGACTCCAGCCCAGAGGAGCTGTGCCCACTGTGAGACCTGGGCAAAGGGGCTCATCTCTTGGTCTCTGCTCCCCACTTGGGGGTGATGATGGCCAGGTTTGTCTCTGAGAGAAGTTGGGGTGGGACTGGCTTAAACATCTGTTAGGATGATGGCCCTATGCACCCAGCACCCAGCCAGTACCTGCTGGTTCTGGTCCCGAGTGTCCTCCGTGTGGTACAGCATGGCCCACCTGCCCGCAGTTGACACATTGACCCATAGGCATGGGTACTGGGGCACCTTCTTGCCCCCCAGCTCCTCCTGGTCTCGGATGTTGGTCTCAATCAGGTGGCACATGGATTCCTGGGTCCACACACTGGGGAGAGTGTACACACACATACACCAGGCACACATGTGAGCTCAGGGCCACGTGGACCTAAAAGTTAATGGAACTTATCCCGTGAATGTTTTAAAGCCCCTCTGTACACCCCTGAGCACCAGGGTGGCATACAGAGCACCTGGGAAGATGCCCCTGGTCTCCTGGGAGGCCTTAGAGACATAAGCCTGGGACCTCACTCACCCTGTTCACTGACAGGAGCTTGGTACCAGGGCCTCTGGACCTAGATGCAAAACATAGACTCCACCATCAGTACAGGAATAGTTCTGAACACTGGCTACTCCTCCCCAAATCTGGGAATCTTTAAAAATTGTATCCCCATGCCCAAGCCACACTCCATATTAGCACAGAAAAATCTGGGTGGGTATTTTTTAAAAGCTCTCCCTGGTGATTCTGATGAGATCCAGGACTGAGACCTTGCTGTGCACATGGTGTCCATCTTCCTGTGAGGGAAGGCGCTCAGCGGGGCAAGTGACCACACTTCCAGGGCCACACAGGGCTGGGAGCCAGGCCAGATACTTCCAGAACCTGTGCTGACCCCCTCCAAAGGGCAGGTATAGGAGGGGTCTGATGGGTGTGAGGACAGGGAAGATTCAGGGATAGAGTTGGATCTGCGGCTCCTGTGTTGGAAACGCAGGGCTGCCCTGAGTCACGGCATGCTTAGTAAGATTCCAGCCTGGCTCACTCCAGCCTTGTAAAAAGTGAAGAGGTTTAGGCCCAAGAGAGGTGACAGGATCATCAACACGTCAGCGCATCCACTGTGACATCTTCCTTTTGCTAGGAGGGAGAACAGACTCCAGTGTCAGGGCTGTCAGTCGCAGCATGATCTGGCCTTCGCTGGTGGACAGGCGGAGAGCACCCAGTTTTTGCTCCCAAGAGGAGCCAGGTCAGGACTGGCCAGGCTGTTCTTTGAAAGTTCCAATAGTGGACATCTCAGGAAGGGCAGTGGTGAGCTTTCTCGTGAGTTTCTGAGCTGGGTTATGAGAGGAGATTTCAACTCAATGGAAGCACTTATTAGCAAAATCCCAGAGCAAGTGTGGTAGTGAATGCCCTGTCCCTGGAGGTATTCAAGAGCCTGGATGCCCACCTGACCCATTTGTTTCCGGACGAAGGTCAAACAAATGAGCTAAAAAATTCTGTGAGTCTCTGCTTACTGCTGGGGGTCGGCCTCCCACGCACGTCTAATTCTGACCCTTGCCTGAGAAGGGTGTCCTACCCTGCTACCTGCCCAAGCCCAGCTGGTGGGCTCACTTCAGCCTACCCTCCCACAACCCTGAGCCTGCGAGTGAGCACTGTCCAGACCGTGCTGATGTGCGCATCAGAGTCCCTCACAGAGCCAGCCCTTCGGGGAGACCCTTGGGGTGGGGACCGGGAGCGGTGGGTACCTTTTCTGGTAGAGGGGCAGCACGGTGGTGCCCAGGATGTAGTAGCTGATGACGGCGCATACCACCATGGCCACACCCAGGCACAGGGCTCGCGTCTCTCCCCGCTTCTGGGCCATCACCAGCTTTTTCCCCATGTCCACGGTGGGGAGGGGGCATCTCTGGGGTCACAGAGCAAACAGAGGTGAGATCAGCCGCACAGAGGAGGGCAGGGGAGAGAGGAGGGCGAATCACCCCTCTGTTGATACGGAATGCTGCAACTACCGGGGACTTGTGGCCGCGCGTAAGCCTCCAGACTTCCATGTCTCCATGAGGGGTTCATGATCAGAGAGATAAAGGCGCTTGCCCAAGGACAAACTGCCTGCGGGTGTGGTTGGCTGAAAATACTCCCACCCCTGACAGACAACAGACATAGTCTCATCCCTGTCTTCTGAGTGCTGCCTTACTCAGCAAAGACTTGGCAGGAGTGATTCAGGGAGGGATCTAGAGACGGATTATCCAGGATTCATGAAACCGTGGGATCTTTGCAAGCGAGAGGAAGTGGGAAGTTGCCTGCAAACATAGCCCGAGAAGAAGATGTGACCACAGAGGCAGAGGTTGGAGTGAGGCAGCCACAAGCCAGGGAGTGCCAGCAGCCCCCCACCCCCTGAAGCTGGAGAAGGCAAGACACTATGGTGGCTCCCCTAGCACCTCCAGAGGGAGCACAGTCCTGCGGGACCTTGATCTCCGGTTTCAGACTTCTGGCCTCCAAGGCCATGGCCATCATGCGTCATTTGTTACAGCAACCACGGGAGGCTGATGCTGAGTGAGGAGGGGGTGGGAATCATGCACCTGCCCCACAGAGAGTGTGCAGGGTCTCACAGACTGCCCACACAGTCCCAAAGCAGAGACGGCTGGAGGTAGCAGGCAGAGAAGGGAGGTGGACCCCCACAGGCAGCCCGGGACATGGGAGTGGGCGAGAGGTCTTCCTCCAGTGGGCTCCATAAGGGCAGGCTGTCCCCTTCAGGCCAGCGAAGGAGAATGAGGAGGAAGGAACAAACAGGTCGTTGTCTTTGAGCTGAGATTTCACATAGACATCTCCAGACCTTTCTCTGTTGACAAAAGATTGAGGTCTCCTCAAGGTATCCTGGAACAAGGACTTGGCGAACTCCTGAAGGAACAGCCATTGCCACCCCCGCGGAGCACAGTCCTGTTGGACACACGTGGGGTCACCATGTGCTGAGCCACAGAGCTGCAGGCTCCCTTCCCGGGGGACAGACTCCCCCTTGGTTCTGAGAGCTGCCCCATGATAGTGTTGTCAGGTGCTGTCATGTTGGTTCTGAATCATAGTGACTCTCTGCCCACAGCACGAATGCCACCCAGTCCTGTGCCATCCTCACAATGGCTCTGTGTGAGTCACTGTAGCGACCGTGTCCATCCATCTCTCTCGGGCTGTGGTAGTTACATAATCTGCTGTCAATTCGAGATAGACTTAAGAGGGAAGGGGTCGAGTTCAGCCTGTCAATCAGGTCGCAGCTTGATGACCTCATTTGGAGGCGCTAAGGAGATAAAGAGCTCATTTGTGGTGGGACACACCTTCACTTCCTGCAAGACATTGCAGCTGACAAGACATGGAGCTCCGCAAGTGCCCTGAGTTGGAGGAGCCCCGTGGAGACCCCTGCCAGCACTGAGATGCTTACGACACCACTGGATCCACAAGACTGCCCACTCGCTGGACTATGATCTTCCTGCATTCAGCATCATTGCACATGCTTCGTGAGTCTGAAGAGGAATTTATAGATTGGTATCTGACATATGGGCTAATAGCAGACTTATGGACTTGATCTGGCCTGGGCTGGGATGTTTTCTTAATGTATAATTACTCTTTATATAAAGCTATTTCTTATACACTTAGGAGTGTCTATGAATTTGTTTCTCTCGTCTTCCCAAATGAACACAGGGGCCTTATTTTCTCCGCTGCACTCTCACTAGCTTAATGTCCTTCTCCAGGGACATGTCCAAAGTATGTGAGGTGAAATATGTGAGATGCAATTTCACCATCCTTGCCTCTAAGGGACATTCTGGCTGTACTTCTTCCAAGATAGATTTGTTTGTTCTTTTGGCAGTCCATGGTACTTCCGATAGTCTTCACAGGCACTGTGATTCAATTGCACCAATCTTCTTTGCTCGTCCTTATTCAGCTGCCCCATTTAAAAAGAAAAAAAATCACTGCCATTGAGTGGGTTCCGACTCATCCGTGACCCTATAGGACAGGGTAGAACTGTCCCTATAGGTTTCCTAGACTATTAACTCTTTACGGAGTGGAAAGCCTCAGCTTTCTCCCATAGTGTGAGTGGTGGTTTCCTGACCTGGTGGCTAGCATAGCCCAAGGCATGACCCACTTTGCACCCAGGGTTCGCGCCAACTGCCTCTGGTAAATGTCTGTATTGTTGTTTTGTGGTTGCTTCTTATTAGCTGGTTGAAGTGAACCAGACTCTGTCTGTACAGCATATACAAGGGTTACAGAGAGCCTTTCTCTGTGAACCTCCTGTTACAGGATGACATGCAACCAGGTACGGGGAGGATTCCCCCTCCCTGCACCCTTACCCCTAGAGTAGTAAGCGCATCACTTTTAGGTGCCCACGAGTGTCCGAGGACACTGATCCGATGGAACGTCTAGCAAAGACCCTTGTTTTCTACTCATGCGTGAGTCCTAACTTCTGGACTCTTCACGTATCCTCCTCGCTCCTCTAGCCCTATTGCCACGGAGTCGATGCTGACTGCTGGTGCCCCCGTGTGTCGCAGGGTGAGTGCTCCCTGGCATTGACTTGGCGGTGAGCTGCGCAGAAGCAGATTTCCAGGCCTTTCCTCCATGGCACCTCAGGCGGAGCTCAACGCAACGACCTTTAGGTAATAGTGGAGCACGGTTTGCACCACCCTCTCTCCTCAGCCCTCCCTATCCTCTCCTACGGAGGAGAGTCCACATTGCAGTACTGAGGGAACAGCCCTGCCACAGCCTTCCCCTAGGAGGCCACCCACCCCTCCCCTTCTCCTCAAGGTGATTGACAAGGTTGGCATCCCCTCACAGCATTTCCAGTCTCACCAGGGGCATCCTCTAAAATGAGACAGAGCAAGGGAACGAGGGAACAACATTCTGTCACATGGCACAGGGGCAAAAAGCCTCCGAGACCTGCTTCCCCTGAGCTGCACCCTGGACTGCCCAAGGTCACAGGCACCTTGACCCCACCCAGGGTCTGTGGGACAAAAGGAACCTGTGGTTGGAGCTCCCAGGAACCTGTATCCTTGAGAACACAGGCTGAGCACCCACTTCTCCCCTTGGAAAGTTGGGATATATTTGTAAGAACGCTTCTCCTGGCACAACCCCGACCTTCCTGACGAATCACCCACCTCCCACTGCCAGGGGCTACTGCCCTTCCACTTCATGTGTCCTGCCAGCTCTCTGGGCACTCCTCGGGATGGCTGACCAACAGAGCAGGGACTCTGTTGTTGCCAGGTCTGGGAGATCAGAGGGACATGGGAGGAGAGGCAGTGGTGGCAGGGACCTCTGGAAGTGAGGATTTGCTCCTCCCTCGCCTCTCTGTCATGCCCAGGTGGGAGAGCATTGCCTAGCCCAGTGAGGGGGTTATAGACTCATGCTAAACCCTGAGGCTGTACCAGGAGGCCAATTTACATAGAAACGTTTAGCTAGAAGTTGGACTTCATCATCTGTCATGAGAACCTTCAGACAGGATGAAGGCTGGGACCTGCTGATATCCCCTGAGGCTGGGACAAGAAGAGAGCGGTTTTAACTGCAACAAGAGGGAATTTCAGTTAGACTCCAAGAAGAACTTCCAGTTTAGAGAGTCATGAAACATCTCTGGCTTTTCATTTTGTCTGAATTCCTCCCCATTTAGAAAAGCCCCTTAGGTCTAAGGTACACATAGGAAAGATAGAACAGAGAAGGGGAGGTTTTGGAGGGTCCTATGTACCCCACACTTGGGTTCATCTCATTTTTCAATCAGACGTGCCATATGAGGGCTCCGTGGGATCCAACCCTGGCTTTGCCACTTAACAGCCAGGTGGTGATACCAGGAGGTTAGTAAATAAAATAGTACTCGCTGTAGCGAGCTGTGATGAAGATCACATGGAGTATAAACAGAAAGTACTGGACGCGGTACCTGGCCGAGGAAGCCCGTGATAAATGCGCGTGATGAAAGCTGACCAAGGAAGCCATGGAGGTTAGTAGCAGATGCTGCAGTGTAGCGCTCCGGCCGAGTGGGTGTTTGTCCTGCTGGTGCCCAATGTGACAGCGTTCACATGTGGTCCTGATGTCTGGGCTGCTGCCCTCTGGGAACTCTGGAAAGTGAGTGCCAGGGCACTGAGTCACCAGAGGGGACGGCCACCAGCTCACCACCAGCAGTCCTAGTCCCAAGTGACACCAGCATCACCCCCTCCAGAATCCAGAATCCCCCTGGACTGCCCAGAGAGGGAAGGAGTGTCCCCTGCCCACCCCTCCCTGGATGCTTCCAGCTGTCTTCCCCCAGAGCTCCCGCCCAGCCCGCCTTTGCTCTCAGATCAGTACTCACGGTCTCCCAGGTCCCCGGAGAGGTTTCCACAGGCAGGCAGTTTCTTTCTGCCTGACCCCCACCCCACAAGGGCCCAGAGATCCAGCAGGAAGCAAGGCCTCCTGGGCCATTTCCAGGGAAGCCGCCCTTGGTCCCCATCTGAGGCGAGCCTCCATGCCCAAACATGGTCATGTCTGCACCCACCGCTCCAGGACTGAGACCCGGAGAGCAGGTGAGAGCCAGCAGGGCCGACAGCTGCTGTGCAGACTCCGTACCTGCACCGCCGGCCATTGGTTGGAAAGAGACTGATTGCAAACAAAAACAGACCGAAAATGAAACAGGCAAAAACACTGCGCGGCTATATGGAAAAGCTTTTTTTTTTTTTTTTCACTCCGTCTCTCTGGGCTGGCAGAGAAGGCAGAGACGTAAACTGATTTTCCTTTTTTTGTTGATGTGGGGCTAGGGGTTGGGGGAGGGTCAGGCCTGGAGATACTCAACCTCCAAACCAAACTCACTGCCTCTGAGTGGAGTCCCAGCCCTTGACTCACATGGCGGGCTGCTAGCCACTAGGTCAGCGGGTTCAAACCCAACAGATGTTCTGCAGGAGAGAGATGAGGCTTTCGGCACCCTCGTCCACCAGCCCACAGAGGCAGCTCTACCCTGCCCTGTAGGGTTGCTATGAGTGTGTGCTCCCTGAGAGAACAGCAAGCTCCTCTGGCCTCGGCGAGTCACCACACCTCTCAAAGCTGGAAAGTTCATCTGTGCAATGGGGATTTTAAAACAGGGGCTGGCACAGGCCGGGGGAATGTCTTGCTCCACTGGGAGCCAATTACACAACAGCCAATAACCATCGCCATCTGTCCCCCTCCCCTTTTTACACAGGGCTCTGAGGAGGAAACTGAAGGTGCGGTTCCGAGGTTTTCAGAGATGGTCCGAGGTGACTTTGAAACAGATTCTAAGCGGGTCCTTCCAGACTGAGAAGCCCCGAGGCTGCTCTAGGACAGACATACGTTAGCCTCTTGTACACAGTCACCTGGCACCAAAAGCTCTGCAGGTCACCCCGAGCGCAGGCTGGCTCTCTCTCCCTGTTTAACAGGCCGCTCGACCTCCCTGGATCCTGGCTGGGCTGCCAGCGAGGGAGCAGGCTGAGAAAGGCAGGCTGCTGCACAGGTCGGCCTGGTACTCTCCAGTGGTCCTCTTCCTCCGCCTCCCCTTTCCTAACAGAATCATGTTACTAGAACACCTTGGCTCTTTAATGGGCCTGATGGCCAAAGGGTGTTTGGGAAAGCTGGCCTTCAACCTGGTGGGTAGTTTGCAGAGCAGGTCAAGCGAGACATGGGATAAACACATGTGCCAATGGTTCTGCCCAGCCCCAGGCAGTGAGATTGCCAGGGTGGGCCTGGCTTCATTCAGGGGCCAGAAGCATCCTGCTGGGTCCCCTGAGATCATTGCAAAATGCCAGCCCCTCCTCCCAGCCAAGAGAGAGGGAGAGAGAGAGAGAAGGTACACAGTGCAGCAGACCAACTAAGTGAGTTGTTAAGATGATCACACCTGAAATTTATAAGCAAACATTAGCATTCATCCCAAGGCTCTTTGTCTTTCCCCCAGGTCACTGAGACGCAGTCAAATGTTCCCCTCAGACTTGCTCTCAGGGGGTGCTGCTGTTACTGGGTGCCATAGAGTTGAGACTCCCTCGGGGCAACCTAATAGACAACAGAACGCATCCCTGCCTGGTCGGCACCACCCTCACAATCTCTATTCTGCCTGGGCTCCTGACAGTAGCTGGCGGGACCCTGGATTATTCTCTTCTGCTTGGCGGCGGGCGTGGGGGTGGGGAGCGACAGGTGGGTCAGGACAAGGAAAACGTAGACGGCAACAAGCACAGCGGTTTTGCATCCGTGTCCACTGTCATTCAGTGGATTCCAGCTCACCGCAGCCCTACACAGGATTTCCAAAGCGGCAACTCACCCATTACAGCCACAGACGGCCTCATCCTTCTCCCAAGGGTGACAGGTGGCTTTGAACCATCAGCCTTGCAGTTAGAAACCCAACACTTATCCAGCAAGGCCACCAGGGCTCCTTGCCTTAACCCAGGGAGTGAAATGTGAACCAACAGAGGCAGACACACCCCGGTGCCAGCTCAGTTGCAACCCACAGCAACCCCAGGCGTGCCTGGTTGAACTAACCCAACCCGGTTCTTAACGCCCCCAGATGCGCCTAGGCAGAAATGCTGGGCCACACGCTTCCCAAAGGCACATCAGGGAGATTTCAAATCACCCAGCTTTCAGTTAGAAGTTGGCCGGCCACTGAGGGCCCCTGCACAGAGGGTAACAGGTCACGAAATACAGTCCCCATATTGAAGGTGCCAACCACCTTGTAAGGTAAATAGCACTACCCACTTCACAGAGGGGATGACTGAGCACCAGAGTTGTCAAACAAACTTTCCGCAGCAAGTCTCAAGTTGTCTCTTACATGTCGAATTCTACCCTAGAAACAAGATCTGTTGAAGTTCTAACCACAGGTACCTTTGAATGTAACCTTCCTAAGAAACAGGGTTGTTGCAAATGTGGTTAAACTAGTCATATTTGGAGCAGAAAACCCCAGAACCAGACCTCTTACCAGAGAGTTGGTCCCCATTCATGAAAGACCTTGTGTCACCAAGTGAGCTGGGCCCCAGAGGGTTTATCTGCCTGTGATATTTATAGAAACAGATAACCAGGCCTTTCTTCTGTGGCACCACCGGAGGGGTTCACACGTCCCTCTGCTCCATTAGCAGTGCAGCTGAAGCTGTTTGTGCCACCCGCAGGCCTTCATTAGGGTAGGGCAGACCCCCATGCAATATGCCTGCCATCCTTATAAAAAGAAGAGAGAGGTGGGATTAAGGTAATTCATGGCATAGTGGTTACGTACTGGGCTGCTAACTGCAAGGTCAGCAGTTCAAAGCCAGAGCCATTCTGTGGGAGAAAGAGAAAGTGTTGTACTTCCACCAACAGTTTCAGGCTCAGAAACCCACAGGGCAGTTCCATCCTGTGCTATAGGGTTGCTGTGAGTCAGAGTTGACTCCTCCGTGGAGGGAGTTTGGTTTGGTTTTGGTACCTACAAGAAACACCGAGAACTCCTGGGAGCTAGATTTGGAAGAGGCAAGGACCTTCACTCACCCTTTGGTGAAGAGCATGACCCAGCCAACAGCTGTGTGTGCGGCGGATGGCCTCCAGGACTATGCGATAACAAGTATCTATGACATTTTGTGACAGCAGCCCTCGGAAATGAAAACATTCTCTAAAAGGAGGTCATTATAGATAGGCCCTCCCCTAAGCTCACCTAACCTACTGACACACCGTGCTGGAGAGAGCAGGCTTCCCCCGAAAGCTGGCCTCGCTGGCGGACCTCCCATCCAGCACACTGTTCCTGCAATGCGGCGCCAACACCCTCCATGCAGAGATGGCACCCATGCTCTCTCCCCTTCCTGCCGGGGCACAGCTTTGTAGCGGCCTGGCCAACACAGTGTGGTAGAAGCTGTTGACTCCAAAGAGACGTCTTCAGCAGTGACACAGTTTCCACCTGCTCTCTCTCGTGGAACAATGTCCTTGGAACCAGTGTCCATGTTGGAGGGCGCTCAAGCCACATGTGGGGGCTGCAGCTGACAGCCCCCAGACCACGCCCGAGACCCATGAGCCTGCGAACCTTTGGAGAGTTGCCGCTCCCGCCAGCAAGGCCACCGTCATGAAGCAGAAAGAGCTATCCCCCGTCTGTGTGCTCTCCAAGCCCCCACCCCACCCTCTCCACGAGCGCCGTCCATGGCTATTTATGTTCACTTATTATGCAGCCAGAGTAACTGGCAACTGTTGTAAATTATTTAAAGGCCACTCCGGTTGTAACTTGTACTGGTAGTGGACTGAGCCAGAGGGGAAAAGAAAGCCAGCAAGCAGTAGATGGAGCACTATGGAGAGCTTTCGAAATGCCTCATCTGCTTCCCTATCAAGATTCCTACTTCTGCACACATGGAATAGTAACATGGGAGAGTAAGATGCCCTGGTAGCACTGCTGGGCAAGTGTTGAGCTACCAGCCCCAAGGTCAACGGTTCTAACCCACCAGCCACTCCACTGGAGAAAGATGAGGCTAGCTGCTCCTATAACGATACGATGTACAGCCAAGGACGCACTCTAGAGCATCACACAGTGAGTCTGAATTAACTGGATGACAGCAGGAACGGGAGGGGGTGTATTTCATGCACGGAGCATGTACTCTGCACAAGGGCATGCAGCACCCAAGTATGCATGCAGAGCCACACACAGATGTGTATACAACCAGTCAGCGACTGTGACATCACCTCCGACTCGCAGTGACCCAGGTGTGGTGGACTCTTTGAAAACCTGAACTCTTGTGAAAACTTGCCAGGTCTTTTTCCTGAGGTGGCTCAAGGTGTCCTCGAACCACCAAACATTAACATGACCTGTGGGAAGGGGGTAGGGGTGCTTTGAGAAATTGAGAAGACAATTCCATTATCTTCCCATTCCCTTTCCCCACATGTTTCAAAAGCCTGAGCACATGGTATGCCCGGGAGCTGGGCCTGAACCTGGGCTTCGGACTCCGACACTGCAGCCCACCCCAGCTCCTCTCCTGGTTCCCGGATTTGTAGCCTCTCACTTCCGCCTGCCGCACTCTCGCTGATCCATCAATTGATCTTTAGCGCCATGGTGTCAGTTCAGACTCACAGAACAAAACGAAGAAACACTGGGCATCCTCACAACTGTTACATCTGGGCCCATTGTTAGAGTCACTGCACCAAACCTCTCCTTTGCTCTCTGTTGAACATGACCTCCTTCTCCAGGGACTGGGCTCTCCTGATGGCATATCCAAAGTACATGAGACGAAGTCTCCCCATTCTTGATTTTTAGGAACATTCTGTTTGCACTTGTTTCCTTAACCCTCTCTTTCTGAATTCTGCACCCACTTATTTATTTAAACCCTCTCGAATCAACCTCAATCCCCTGCTGACACGACCTCTTGGGGTAGCCAACCCCACAAGCAGGTTCTGACATTCACCGAGGCCCTGCTGAGCACAGGTGGCACCGCGGGTGCCCCGGGAG